GCCACACATTGAGAGTGAGGCATGCACGCACACACACACACACACACACACACACACACGTTATACTTATTCATTTAAGATTATTTATTGGTCACAGTTCAGTTATTGTGTTTATACATTTTCGTTTCATTCATATCTGATTTAAATAAGACTCATACACTTTCAGTTTCTCATTACCTTTCTTTATTATTCACAGTACATTTATTACTATTTTGGGTGCACACAAAATCAGTTATCTGTACTGTATGTTTTGTTAATTTAGTTTTCTTTTGAGTTTAAGTTACCGTGCTGCAGTGCCGACGAGGAACAGTTTCCGGGTGTGGTCCGCCCAAGTAAAGGTCCGACGTGCCGCGAGATGCCGTCTTTTGGTTCCGCCTGCCGATACCATTGGCTTAATGGCTTGGAGGGAGAGCTCATGTTTAGTTTAGGTTCAATAATGATTTGCAATGTTTGTTTATTCAGATTTATATTTAGTTTTGCCTTATTTATAATTTCTTTAACTTCTATTTAGATTTGTATTTAAATGTTTGGCTTAGTTTATTGTATTTGTAAATTGTTTGTTTTTGTCTCCCCCTTCTTGTTTAATGTGGACTAGTCCCTGTGCTATAAATGTGGTCTGTCTTGTCATTTCATGGAGTTCTGTTTTTGGTTTAGACATGATTTGTTTGGTTTGAACTCAGTTTGTTTTCCTTGTTTAGTTTATTGTTCTTTCAATTGATTTAATTATTTAATTAATTTATTTTTGAACTTTTTGTAAACCTTTTTGACTTTATTAAAAATAATTATTTTTGAAAATCTTCTTTTTTGTATGCCCCTTACTGTACGTGCTGGCTCGGTCCCTCACAAATGCATATCTCGATAAAATGGCCTAAGCTATATTGAAATAATTTAAAGAATTACAAATATAGGATATAATAAAATCACATAAATTAAATAAATCTATATAAAAAACAAAACAAAAGCTATAGCTATGTAGGTATAAACAATACATAAATTAAACCTTTTTTATGCTATACTGTATGTAACTTTAATTTTTACAAAGGCCTATCTTTTCTGTCACCCAGTCCTGCGCAGCGCCGCTTTACAAACAATTGGAGAAAACTGCAAATACAAAATGTGTTCTATGTCCTCAAACAATTGTTTATGTTTTTATATGACGTGGTAAATGGAAAAATTTAATTTTAAATACATGTTGAGCCTCATTATAGTATAGCCTAGCTGCTGAGCGCAACATAAAATAGGCTATATTTTATTACTTCCTCTTATGTGCTGAAATACTTAAGACTTTACTTGACTTAAGATCACAGAAAAAGTTTGCAACATCCTTAAATAAAGAGGAATTACCTATTAAGTGTCATATATCATAGGGAAAAATGAATATGTTTTAGGGAGGAAGTTACAAAATACATTTCATACCGAGTTATTATCAGATAATTTCTGTGGTTTTATTTTATGGATGGCTTTGCTCACTGTGCTGGGTCCCTCCGCTAGTGGTGAAACCACTCAATGCACGATGCCAACAGTCGGTCTGCGAGTAAACAAATTTAATGAACGGAAACACATAGGCCTGTGCATGTAGACTGAACTGGGCGGGTTGTGTGACGTTTGATTCGGGGGACGTTCTGGGGGCAGGGTTTGCATGATGAGCTGCTAGCCCGACAGTGGAAACCCGACCTGATTTCGGCCTCACTACTCAACCTCCTGGGCGATTGGCCCGATAAAGGCCCTGGCTTGCACTGGCCCGACAGTGAAAATGCAGCTATTGTCTAGTCCACTCGTGTTATGTTGGTCAGCAAAGTAGCCAAGACTCATACATTATCTAGTTCACAATCTGCAAAGTAGCCAAGGGTCACACATAGTCAATTTCACTAGTTTTAAGCCAGTCAGCAAAGTAGCCAGGACTCACATATTGTCTTGTGTCTACTAGTGTAAGCCATTTGGGAAGGTAGGTCAGGCATACATAGGCAAGGTAGTCTAGGTGCACGTACTTTAGATAGAAAAACATGTGGTCCCATAGCCCATGGTGTGGAAAAAAAATGTCTGTTTATTTCATTGTCTATTTTAATTATCATTGTCTACAGAGTTGTCATGACAGAAATAATTATATTGTGAAATGGCCTATTCTTCATTGTCAAAAGTGTGAAAAAAATCAAACAGAAGACACTTTTATACCTTGCACCATCATGCTACAGTTACTATCCAATATATTTTAATTCAATTTAAGTTTATTTGTATAGCACTTTTTACAAAAATTGTTGTTTCTTAAGCAGTTCTGATTGCTCTTTCTTAATGGCGTTCTTCCTCACATGGATGACAATCTGTGTGGCAGTCTTGTGCTTCTTAAAAATGTTCTCAAGTCTCAGGTTTTTCATCAGAAACATGAGGGAAGCAGTATGCCATTGTAGCCCTGCTCCTAAAATTCCTGATTATTGAATCTCCAACAATCAGTGACATGTCCTTATCTCGGCTGCGATCGGTGCTGAATTCCACTGTCCGTTCAGTCTTGATCTCCTGTTCCATGCAGAAATAGCTGCTGAGTCACGCGATCTCTGTCTGACTTCTTTTAGGGATTCTTCACCCATATTACTCAAAGCTTTATATCTGTTCTAAAGCTGTATTTGAGTCCAGGCTATAGTTGATGTAGAGGACACTAATGTAGCAGCATATGATTCGTGATCTGGCTAGTGGTGTAAAGTATCTAATTACAAATACTCAAATTACTGTAATTGAGTATTTTTTTTCAGAAATTGTAATTTAGTAAGTAGTTTTAAAAATGTGTACTTTTACTTTCCTTTAAGTAAATTTTTAGTGCAGTAATCAGTTCTTTTACTCCACCACTTTTCTTCAACCTTCAGTCACTACTTTTTCTTGTCTATGGGGATTAGAAAAATCTGTCCTGTGATTCCTGTCCAATTAAATCACACATAGAAATTATATCGCCTCATAATAAACTACCTCAAAATAGGGTTGATCAAAAGAAATATATTAGGCAATTCAAATATATAATATATATGAATTGATGTTTACTTTAAACTTGTTATTGTTCAATTATAATGATTAAAATATATATTTTTTGTCAAATAACTTTTGCACCGTTTTGGCACCGGTACCATTTTAAAAGTATTGAAATAACCCCAAATGATACCCAACCCTACCTCAAAACATGTGTGCTTTATAATTGCAGCAAACTGTTTGGAAGCATTAAAAGTGTACAAGGTGTCCTAAATTTTTATATGCGTTGACCCAAAGACTGCATGTCACTAATGAGAAGATGACAGATGTTTACTGTATGATGATCAAAATTGCCTTAAACATCCAGCAAGCACAAGATGTCAACATGATGTCAGTATTAAGTTGTACCCCAGTGTCATGGGGATGTTGCATTTTGTTTTACCATGGAAATCATGGAAGTGTCAGCATGTGATGCCAAAATGACGTTGGATGTTGGCTCGACATTGGATTTTGGTCACTTTCCAACACAACCTAAAGTCAACCAAATATCAACATCATTTGATGTTGTTATTGAACAAAGAACATTGTCTTTAGATGCTGGCTAGACAATCTAACCTAATGTTAATGTCTTATGGTGTTGTATGCCTGCTGGGCAATAACTCGATGCACTACAGAATGTTGTTTACCCACACATGCACAAATTAAAGGTTAACGCATCAGCTTTTAAAAGTGTAATACTCACTACTCAGTACTCTTGAGTACTTTTGAAATGGCTACTTTTTACTCATACTTTGAGTAATATTTACAACAGATACTTTTACTCTACTCACACTACATTTTTAGACAAGTAATGGTACTTTTACTTGAGTATGATTTTTTAGTCCTCTTTCCACCACTGGATCTGGCCCTGTGAGACTTTTGGTCTCCTGCTTTGTTTATACCATCATACTCATTTTCAACTGTCCATTTTATTTTTCTGTGTTCAAAACTGTAGCTGGAGTAGATTTACAGGACTCACCAGCTGTATGCTGTCGGGTCTATGGTGAAGCAGTCCTCTGTGATCTGGCAGTTCTAGTCAGATCGCGAGTAACTTTGTTTTAAGAACTGCATTTTTTGTAGAAGTTTGCGACAGTTTGTGCAGCAGTGAGAATCAATCAATACCAGCCACAGGGAATTTTACAGCCGTCTGTACTTCATGTCTCAGAAATGTAAGCTGGTGGTATCGAGAGGTTGTTTAGTCGATACTTGCACTTTTGTTGTTAAAGTTATATTCCAGAGAGTTTGTAGATTCAACATTGAAATGTTGAATCAAGCTATTTGAGGTAAAATTAGAGTTTGAAATATAAAAAGCAAGAGTGCAAAGCACGGAGCAGTAAGCAAGGCATCTGAACAGGAGCAAAGCAGAAACTAAGATCTTTATACAGCAACATTATACAGGGTGAAGAGCATAAGACAGTAACAGTGAAAAAAGCTGATAGCTTTAGCTGGCTAGTGATGCTAGCAGGATAAACGAGAAGCCAGAAGTGGATGCTCAAGAAATAAAACATTTTGAGTAGATTTGTTTCAAAATGGTATGAATGGTGTGTTCGTCCTCTATAAAAAAAGAAAAATAGTAACGAATAGTAATGTATTTTATGAAAAAAATGGCAATTTCGAATCCACGGAACAGAGATCCAAACACAATCAAGAGGCAACCATAACAACAAGAATGACTTCACTCGAGCATGTTCAGCAAGTAACCTTTTGTTCTGAAATGCGCAAATATTTCTAATGGAATGACAGCATTTTGCGTGTTAAATTATGCTAAGCATTGTTAAATTTGACCACACCTTTATTCTCATTTTCTCTGTCTGTTTTCAAATTTTTGGAAATCTTTCACAGCTTTGATGATGTCAGTTGTTTTCCTTTTGTAGAACCTCATAAAGTTTATGTAGATGAAGCAACAAACATATTTTGTGCATGGCTAAATTAATGTCTGTTCATATTTACATAGTTTTGATTTGGCATTGACAAATCAGTTGAATTTAATATTGTCCCTCCCCTTTTAGCTAAACCCACGACTCTGTTCAGCAGACAGACCAAGGTAATCGTGTGTGGCATACAGACACAGGCAGTTCAGGGCATGCTGGACTTTGATTACGTGTGTTCTCGTGATGAACCCTCTGTTGTCGCAATGGTCTACCCCTACACGTCAGTACGTTTAAAAATAACCTTAGGATTTGCCTGTAATTTTGAAAGCATGGTTTTATGATTTTTCATTTTTGTGTGTGCCAGTGGTGACCACAAGCAGAAATTTTACTGGGGTCATAAGGAGATCTTACTGTCTGTCTATAAGAACATGGCTGATGCTATGAAGAAACATCCAGATGTTGACGTACTCATTAACTTTGCCTCCCTTCGCTCAGCCTTCGACAGTACCATGGAAACACTTCAGTACCCTCAGGTAATATCCCATACTGACAGCGCAGTGTTTCCACTTGCTAGCTAAAATAGCAGTTGTTTTTTTAAATCACAGTAACATCAGTCCTGTGGAAAGTAATGAAACAAATCCTGAAAATCCAATTTTATTGACTGAACAATACATTCCGTACCCACTGTATGTATGTATGTATGTATGTATGTATGTATGTATGTATGTATGTATGTATGTATGTATGTATGTATGTATGTATGTATGTATGTATGTATGTGTGTGTGTGTGTGTGTGTGTGTGTGTATGTGTGTGTATATATATATATATATATATATATATATATATATATATATATATATATATATATATATATATATATATATATATACTTACCCGCCACTTTAATAGGTACACCTGTTCAACTGCTCTTTAACACAAATTTCAATCACATCAACTTAATTAATTTAGCCATGTAGAGATGGTCAAGATGATCTGCTGCAGTTTAAACCAAGCATCAGAATGAGGAAGAAAGGTGATGTAAGTAACTTCAAACGTGGCATGGTTGTTGGTGCCAGATGGGCTGGTCTGAGTATTTCAGAAACTGCTGATCTACTGGGAGAAATAAGATAAAATATCCAGTGATGGCAGTTATGTAGAAGCAAATGCCTTGTTGATATCAGAGGAGAATGGCCAGACTGGTTTGAGCTGATAGAAAGGCAACAGTAACTCAAATAACCACTAGTTACAACTTGCAAAGCACAACACATCCAACCTTGAGGCGGATGGGCTACAGCAGCAGAAGACCACACCGGGTGCCAATTCTGTCAGCAAATGAAAGGCAACTGAAGCCACAGTTTTCACAGGCTCACCAAAATTACCTCAGTTATCATTTACCATTTAAATTAGGTATATATAAATATAAGGTGCTATGAGTTGCTTTAAGAATGTTACCTTTTATGTAGCTGTTTTACATGTTATAATACATAGATGCATTAATGTCATTATATTGCCAAGCCATCCAATGTTTTCTCTAGAGTTTCATGTGATATTGGGTGTTTCATTTAAAATGTTTCGTCATCATCTACAATTTAGCTATTCGACTTTCATTCAGTAACATTTCATTCATGGCCCATTTACAAACTCTGAGCTACCGGATAAGAGTATGAAGTAAGGATTCCATGAAGATAATTGTTTTATTGAAATTTCAGGACAGAATTTGTAAATTTGTATTTGGTTATAGCAGGTGTAATGATCTCCTAGGACTTCACTTGCATGCACTTTAACACTTGGATATGCTGTTGTCTGTGGTGCTGGACTGACGCAGAAGGTGCTGAGTGTCCAACAGCCTTGTGGGTATGGAATATCCTGTCGCAATATCGCAGCGAAAATCCTTCATGATTGTAACAGTTTGAATAAGGTGTTCACATGTCTGTACTGCACTTCACTAATGTGACTGGAATAGGAATAGGAATTAGATTTTTGTTTACTGTGATTTTGACTTCAAAAATTGATTTTGTCAGAAAAATCTCTGTTTACATGGTTGACTCTTAATCAGAGTATTGTTTTAATCAAATTAAAATTGGAGCATTGCTGTTCATGTATATAAGACTCCCTAGTTTTTCACGATTTTTTCAATGACTGATTTTGTGGTGGTAATGCCCAGAAATTGCGGACAATTTAGGGATTACAAAAAAAGGTCTATATATACACGAGTAGCAGTGCGATATCGCTGTATATCGGCACTGGTGGGAGGTGTGCGTTGGCACGAGGCCGCATTAATGAATTAATGAAAATTTCATTAATTGGAAATGTAGTCAATTGCAATATTAAGAGTTTACAAATAGCGTCAGTATTGTTTTTTAAATCTTGAGTCAGCTTAGTTTTTTAGAAAATTGAATAAGAAACTTTATAAATTAATAAAAACTGGATTGTCCTTAATGTATAAATTAATTCATTAAAATGTATGGTATGAAACCGGAGAAGCAGAGTAATTGTACATATTTTTGTTATTTAGATATTTTGCATAATAAGTAGATTTTTCAACTATAAAAACACATGCTTGAGAAACAATGAATGTTATAACAATGTATGCATGAAATTTTGTGTTTTTAAAAGTTTCATCTTTCATCATAGTTACAATTTCTTAATAGTTACATATTCTTTTACTAAAAAGGCCCTATTGACTCAAATTTAAATAATTAAAAGTGTTAATTTATTTATTGCCTATGTGGACGGTAATGATTTATTGGAATGTTAAGCCATAATTATTAATAATTTGGCCTAATTAGTGTTAAGCCAAATAATAAAATTTACTTTTCAGACAAAGTAATTGGAAAAGTAATTGAAATATTTGAATAATTTTGAATTAGTTATTGAATGAGTTGGTAATCAATAACTTGTTTGAAATAACTTCCCCAACACCCATATTAGGACTCCAATTAGTAATGACACAAAATGCATCCATTTTTAGTTCTTTTATGTATCTTATTGAACTTTTTTTATTATTATAATTTTTATCTACCAGATTTAAAAAAATAACCAATATATATAAATATATATATATATATTATATATATATTATATAATATATATATTATATTATATATATATATTTATATATATATATAAATATATATATAAAATTTTTTGTTTGTTTATTAGATACGCACTATAGCCATCATAGCTGAAGGCATTCCTGAAGCTCTGACTCGCAAACTTATCAAAACAGCTGATGAAAAGGGCGTCACTATCATTGGACCTGCTACTGTGAGTATTTCAAAATCTTTGATATTTATCTTTCTTTTAATCAATTCTTTGTAGCTGAAAATTAAGTTTAACACAAATCTTCATTTCACATTTAAACCCAAAATTAGAAAGTAAAATAAGAGAGCTGCAATGTCTGTCATATTGTATAACATATTGTTACGTGACCCGGCCTTGTTAATTGTACAGTTTTTACCAAATTCTTTTTACAGTTTACCAATAACTTTCTTTCTCTTATGTTTTAGGTTGGTGGTATAAAGCCAGGCTGCTTTAAGATTGGGAACACAGGTGGAATGCTTGACAATATTCTGGCATCAAAGTTGTACAGGCCAGGCAGTGTGGCATATGTGTCCAGTTCAGGAGGGATGTCCAATGAACTCAACAACATCATCTCACACACTACAGATGGGGTTTATGAGGGAGTTGCTATTGGAGGGGACAGGTAATAAACAGGACATGTCTTAATCTCATGACATAAAAGACGAATAAACATAACAACCAAAACAGCTTATAAAATAACTACCTTGAGAAAAGATTTTATGATATACAATTTTGGCAATCAAGCTTTGCGGCTTACTTTACATTTTTACAGTGTTTTGTTCTTCATATAAAACAATTGAAGTTATTTAAATCAAACCTTCTGTAATTTGTCACACTTTACAATACGTTTCCATTAGGTAATGTCATTTAATGTATTTACTGACATGAACTAAGAATAAACAATATAAAACATTTAATTACACTAAAAACTAAAATATTTATTAATACAGTGGTCCCCAACCCCTAGGCCATGGACTGGTAGCGGTCCGTACAAGAAATCATTAATTATTTTCATTTTATTTATTATCTGAGTCTGAACAATCTTTTTTTTTGAAAATCTTTTATTTTGAATGACTGTATTCTCTTGCTTACATCTCGGTTACCTGAGCACCCAAATTTAATCCACAAGCTGCAAAATGAGTAAGAAACAGACGTCTTTGGAAAGCTTCTTTGCTATGGGGAAAAGGCCCAGTGAAGGACCTGCAAGCTGCCAGGGAATGGATCCACAATCAATTTGTCAACAAATCAGGTCAATATACCATATCTGTGCAAGAAGATCAACTGCTGGAGAATGACGGCGGCCTTTAAGTGGCCGTTTGCATATGGTGTCTTTTCTAGTTCATGCAAGTTTGTTATTTCCAATGGAGGTGTGCGCTCTTGTCTTCTAGACGCACCCGGTTGAATGAATGCCAAATGTGCACCGCGAGTAACGTAAAAAGAACTGACCAATCAGCTTTAGCTTGTATGGATTATTCACATTTCGGTAGACTAATTATCCCCCTTATCTCACCCAAACACTGGAGTGCTTTGTAATTTTCTCCATGAGTAAAACTTGTATCAGAGTGACTGCAATGTTTTGTCGACTTGTCATGCTCTAATAAAACGGTTGATGGTCGCCTAGCAATCTACGACCAACCACCCCCCAGTGTGTGGTAAAATTGTCCAGCGTTGACCAGTCTGCAGTGATAAAAAGGTTGGGGACCACTGGTCTAATAAACTAATTAACACCAGCTAATACACTGTTAACAATTACTAATTTAACAAATATAAATAAACTCTGTAATAAATGCTCTGCTTATTGTTCGTTCATTTTAGTAAATAGATTAATATCTATCTATCTATCTATCTATCTATCTATCTATCTATCTATCTATCTATCTGTCTGTCTGTCTGTCTGTCCGTCCGTCCGTCCGTCCGTCCGTCCGTCCGTCCGTCCGTCCCTCCCTCCCTCCCTCCGTCCGTCCGTCCGTCCGTCCGTCAGTCCGTCCGTCTGTCTGTCTGTCTATCTATCTGTAATATCATGTAGTTTTGTTTTTGATTGTCAGCATGATGTAGGCCTGTAGTTTAATAATATTTATACAAAATATTTATAATGATACCTTTACAGAATTAAACTAGTGTGCAACTTAAGCAAAACTGATTGGTAATTAGGTTAACTGGGCAGGTTAGGGTAATTAGGCAAGTCATTGTATAATGATGGTTTGTTCTGTAAACTATCAAAAAAAAAAAGAAAAAAAAAAACGTTAGCCCAACGGGGCTAATTATTTCGTCCTTAAAATGTTTTAAAAAATTTAAAAACTGCTTTTATTCTAGGCCAAATACAAAAAATAAGACTTCCTCCAGAAGAAAAAAAAAATATTATCAGACGTACTGGGAAAATTCCCTTGCTCTGTTTAACATCATTTGGGAAATATTTAAAAAAGGAAAAAAAAAAAACATCGAAGGGACTAATAATTCTGACTTCAACTACAGTATATATATAAATCTAGATTTAAGAGGTTGTGTATATATATATATATATATATATATATATATATATATATATATATATATATATATATATATGTATGTATGTATGTATGTATGTATGTATGTATGTATATATGTATATATGTATATATGTATATATGTATATATATATATATATATGCACAACCTCGTAAATCTAGATTTAGAAAATACTATTTATTAGTTATTTGAACACATAAAGTAATCAGCAACTAAGTGTGCAACTTTTGTCAACAGATTTCCTGGTTCCACATTCATGGACCATGTGCTTAGGTATCAGGACACTCCAGGCATCAAGATGATTGTTGTGCTGGGAGAGGTGAGATATAAAGTAATATGCATATTTTAAGAACGTGTTTAAAGCCCAACAAGGTGTCATGACCATTGGTATACTTAAATATATGAAATATCTTTATAGATTATCAAAATGTATTATTTATTTTATTGCTGCAATACAATGAACTAGCCATCACATTCTTTTTATCGTTTTACATTGTAAATAGCAGGGTGAAGGGTTTGAACTTACCACCTGTAGTTTATTGTTAGAAAGCAACCCTGCCCCTTATAAGTGTAAATTAATATAAGCTGTTTCAGTTCAAACACCTACATTACTAGAATGATGAAGATGCAGTGTGGACATTTCGGCAAAATGATGATATAAAACACAACCAATGAAACTCTCAACTGGTTCCAGAGAAGAAAAAAAATATGTTGACGAGGATACCGCAAAGTAAAGCTGGGCAAATTAACATGCTATTATTGCATTAACTAATTGATGCTGACAATTACTTGATTGTTTACAGCTGTTTATTTGTTTTTATATATTTTCTATCTCCATTGTTCACTAGTGATGGGAAGTTCAAATAATTTTACTGACTCGGATCTTTGAGTCTCGTTCATCAAGATGAACGAATCTTTTTTTCGAGTCATTTCATTCATTTAGTTCAATTTGCCAAAATATTATAAAAATGTTACGAATTGCTTCCAAACACATCTACAACAAGCCTAAAATGTTGAATGCATGACAAATAAGTCATAAATAGAATATAAGAAGAAAATAATAGTTCAAGTTTACCTGCTCTTTGTCTATGAAGGCATTTTTGTTTCTTTGCTCAGCTCACCTCTTCATGTCTTCAAATGTCAGGGGTTCATTCACGTTACACTGACAGTCACATATAATCTTAATCAATGCACAGCCTAAGCTGATAGGAGCCATGATCATTCGTTCATCACGTGACAGAATGACTCAAACCCGAGGATTTGAGAGATGAACGGTTAAATTCTTTTTCCGGCTCTAAACACATATGACTGGCCCGTGAGGAACGAGTGACTCAGACCCGATAGAGGACTCGAGAGATGAACAATTCAATTCTTTTTCCGGCTCTAAACGCGTATGATTGGCTTGTGATGAACAAGTGACTCAGACCCGATAGAGGACTCGAGCTCTCCAGCTCTAAGTGCATATGATTGGCTTCTGCCAATGTGATGAAGACTTGAAATTAACGATACTACCTGCTCTCACATGAGCAGCACGGTACAAAAATATATATAAAAGTAGCAAACTCTTAAACTGCCATTTTCTTCTTAAAACTCTTCCAAACGGGGAAGTTGACAAAATCAAAGCTGTAAGTTACTAGTGCAAAGCAAAGTTTTCATTTCACCAAAGTACTGAAAGTCTAAATCATCAGCTGAATACTGTACACACCGTTGACGCCAGAAAATCACACACCTAAACAAACACTGAAGGAGGTCATGTTAAGCTTTGGCATACTACTTTGCAGAGTTAATTTACATATTCAGATGATAAAGAACCAGGGGCCTCATGTATCAACGATGCGTACGCACAAAAACTTTGCGTACGCCAGGTTTCACGCTCAGAATCGCTCACGTTTGGATTTACTAACAATGAACTGAACGTGGGAATGTGCGCAGCCCCACGCCAGCTTTCTGGCTGGCGTACGCACATTTTTTGTGCGTGTCTGTTTTATTTCCATTGGCGACTCCTAGAGGCAGTTGTGTTAAATTCCTTTCTACAAAGTGTCTGAGCCTTGCAATGGGAGCTGTATGAGACGGGTTCATCTAGCAGTTATATAAGGTTTCCATACCATACAGTTGACCAGCTAAACATTAAAGCACAATTTGCAGCAGTCGCCTGTTTTCCCAATGTAATCTGAGCGATCTACTGCACGCACATTGCTATAAAGACACTATCTGAAGATGAATTTGCATGCGTGAATCAGAAACATTTCCATTCAAAAAATGTGCAAATAAAATATTATTCACAAACTTATTAATGATTCCTACTTGTCTTTCTCGTGATAAATAGTAGGCAAAATCTGATATGTAGCGGGGGGAAAAAGAAGAAAGAGTTCATCAGACGCTGGATTCGAGCCGAGTTCATGCTCAAACGTGTCAAAACATGTTGACATACGTCTTACGAGTGCGCCGTACGAGTTTCTAATTCACTCAGTGCAATGTTCAGACCCAACTGTGTTAACCGCATCAGCTAAACTCTCCCACTCAATTTTTTTCTGTTGTTGTTAATTCCAGAGAACAAACTTGCAAATAACACCGCTTTTCTCCGATCTACCTCCGAAAGGAGCACCTCCAGTTCACATTCTGTTCAAAGTTTCTCTTTTTGTTTACTTTTGTCATTGCTTTTTTGTTGGGTTTTGCCAAAGTAGAGTCATTTGCATATTCATACGGGGGAGGAGGCAGGGAGGGGTTTTGTGCTCGTGCATGTTGCGCTCAGTTTCACGTTCATTCGGATGTACAAAAGAATATGCGTGAGATTCGGCGTACGCAGTGTTTCATACATCTGAATTTTTTCTGCGTACGCACATTTACAGCTTTGTGCGTACGCAATGTTTTAGTAAGATTTCCACGCAAGTCTTCGGACATGAGGCCCCAGGTGTGTTTTGGCAACTGGGTTGGTGGAGAGTGTAGTGATCAGCGGTCAAATCAGGAATTTGTGGAAATTCATTCATTCATTCATTTTCTTGTCGGCTTAGTTCCTTTTTTAATACGGGGTCGCCACAGTGGAATGAATCGCCAACTTCTCCAGCACATTTTTATGCAGCGGATGCCCTTCCAGCTGCAACCCATCTCTGGGAAACATCCACACACACATTCACACACACACACTCATACACTATGGACAATTTAGCCTACCCAATTCACCTGACCGCATGTCTTTGGACACCCAGAGGAAACCCACACGAATGCACTGAGAACATGCAAACTCTACACAGAAATGCCGACTGAGCCAAGGCTCGAACCAGCGACCTTATTGCTGTGAAATGACAGCACTACCTACTGCGTCACTGCTCCGCCTGCAGAAATTCAGTTGTGCAAATCAATTTCCAATTTGAACAAATGCTGCAGAGTTAACAATTAAATCTGGCTTTTTGTTTAGACATATCAGTAAGAGTGGCAATGGAGATGGTAAAGAAGATCCATCTGTCTTTTGTTCTCCTAAAGGACAAAGGTGTTAAGAGGCCAGAACTTGCAAAACGGCTAACCTATTAAACATTCATTTTAATCTAAATAACCTTAGAAACAAAGAAACACATGGATTACTATAATTCCATCTAACAAAGTGGACTCAAAATGGAATATTTCACTTTTTATATATTTTGATTCAAATATACATGTATATAATTACTATGCACTGTTTAAGATACTCCACTGTATGAAAATTTGCTTAATAATGTTTATGTATGAATGCTTTGGTAAAGATCAACATTACATTTTGATGTGTAGACTTTAGCTGTTTCTCAATATGAGTTCTTCAGCGATCTTGCGTCCTTGCGTTCTCGTGTAACGTCATCATCAGCTGCCAAAGTTCAGTTCCAATACTCAAGACCGCAAGAACGAAGGACGTGTGAAACTTCCGGGATGTGTTCTTGATATCGAGGACACACCGATGCAGACTTGAGCACCGAACTTGCTCTAGAAGTCCCAGAAGTCATTGCGACTGGAGGTGGGAAGCGCTGCGTTTTATTTACATTTATTATTAAAGTTCAGAGATATCACTTATTTACCTCAGGAGATTCCCTAAATGAAACGGTGAATATAAACATTACGCGATCTCTGTCCTCACGGTCTCCCAAGTTCATTCTTCCGAGGACACCTGGCAAGACCGGTCTCCAGAAGAGCGCAAGTCCGTTCTCTGCGTTCTTGAAATTGAGAAACAGCTTTTGTTTATTCAGCACTATGCCTTGGGTAAACTAGAAGCGGTTTGGAAAGTGAATTATGCATAGGACAATATTAAAGACTTTTAAATATAAAAATAGTTTTACTAGGCTATAACTATGCAAATGCTGTTCGCACCATGGAGGCCAACATCCAATGACCACCTCACAGGATCATCCAATCACAATGCTAGATTTGAAAGGTTCCATCTTTTCAATCCCGCCTTTCCGAGAAAGGATAAAACATTAGCTGTGTCACATTTCAGAGGCTGCATCTTCCAAAGGATGCATTTTACTTGGTTATCTAAACACATGTTAAAAAAACAAAAAGAATATGACATGTCTTACAAAGAGGGATTTTATAAACAGTTTACATTTTTATGTGTACATGCATGGGTCAAAGGAATTATATTTTCAGCTTCTGTAAACATTGCCTTCCCTTTAAATCTCTAAAAGGGCCGTGAAACCCCCCATTTCAGCAGGATGTTTTCACACCTGTAGTTTGGAAAAAGTCAGGAAAGTGGGTGTGTCTAGCTCTGTTTGGGTGGGAGTGTCGGGGGTGGGAAAATGGGCAGGGTTTGAATAAAAAGGGGAGTTGCTATTTGAGCACGCGCTGAGGACAGAGGAAAAACAAACACACGCAGGGGAGAAATGCTGCGAAAATTCAACATGACGGTCGGCAAAAGTTTGCTTACAGTGTTCACGTGTTTACACCATAGACTGTAAAATATATGGACGTAGTATCCATGACGTCACCCATAGGTTTCTGAAGAGCGCAAAAGAAGCCACAAGTAGGCGCGGCCAACCATCGACATTTTGTTCGCGCGTCATCGCACTCACGTCGGGATACCAAACAAGGGCAAAGAGGCAGAGAGTGAGCGGAGCTACAAACACCTGCTGGCATTTTGCTTGAACCTGGTTCAGACACACTTTACTTTGGGAGAATGCTTAAGGCTTTATTACCTGTGACTCGTTTGTGTTCTTACCACATGTGCTTGGTTGTACACTATATCAATAAAGTGTTTAGACTTTTAAAAATACTGTAGTAATACATTGAGCCACTAAGTATTGTTCTTATGACATTTTTCAACTTGAGGAAAACGCGAATTACTTCCAAACCTGTCGC